AAAAGCTCAATCGCATGGAATTTGATTGCCGAATGGATCGCTATAAATTTGTCACATGCTTACATGTATAAATAATATTGTATTACTCACCTAATAACCTTGTAGAAAAACTTTTAATGGTGTCTGATTTTCTGATAGCCCTTTTTTCATATCTTAAATTACTGCCGTCATTGTTCTGCATGGCGTTGTAAAGTTCCAACATATATGACGCGGCAACAGGCTGGTGTTTTTGTAAAGTCTGATTAAACTCCTCTGCCAGTGTATCAATCGAACCGCCATAATGTTTCATCTGAGGAATACCTTGCTGCTTTGACATGCCCGGCGAATCTTGATCGCAATGAATGAGTATCTCTTCAGGATACATATTGTTTGTATTCCGTGCTACCAGAAAATCAAATGCGAAGACTACTGTGACTTGGAATATGAGTATATACTGCATATAAGACATCGCGGTGTGTCGTTGCATGGCAAGTGTTCGTAACAAGAACGAAAACTGAATGACGGTACCCGATACCCATAGCGCTTATATATCGTCTACAATGCACATTAACACAACAGATCATTTACACGCGGCGAGTACAGTAATTTCAAAGAAGGCGTGAAGAATGTCGGGTCAGATTGAACATACTCCTCAGGAGCTATAGGTGTTAAATGTAATATAATTATTCATGGCTGCCGACAAAGGAAATTAAATGAATCGGCATTTAATGTGTTATGTAGTGACAACTGACCCATCACATCAACTAAAATGGGTTTTATAGAAATGCATTAAAACAATGCGTTATTATTTGTCTAACATTATATGTTGTTATTATTTGTCTAAATAATAATTGTAATCTACAAATTATGTGTCGCTGTGGCGTAACGGATAGCGTGTCGGCTGTTATTTGAAATAAAGGCTAGTTGAAGACCATGTGTTCGAATCCTAGTGAATATACTAATCAATTTTCTAGTGCTTCGTCAGGGTTATATGTTGTTACTCATTCAGATAAATAAACGACAAACCAATGCAACCGTATTTTTACCTTACATATTAACTAGTGCTGCTGAGCAATACATGACGCCGGTAATATTCATAAACATGGTTGTTACTATGATATTGTATTGCTTACAAATTGCGCTGCTACTGGTACCATCCATCGCCTAGTGTTGGCTAAACTTACCAGAGCTCTATCGATCCTTATGCCCATGTGTAAAAAATGAAGTTAACCTAGTTGATCGTCTACCTCCAGCCTTAGTTTCTACGAAAATGTGAAAAGTTTACACGTTCAGCGTGCCATTAAAATGTCGGCATTGGAAGTGAATAGGTGGTACTGCTCTGAGGAATAAATACGAGATGGGCTTCCGTGTACAGTGACAATGCACTTTGCTGAATCTTGCCGCATAACATATTTTGACGTTCTCCAATTATGTAGTCGAAGCGCCATCACGGGTGGATGTACAACGATTACTATGACTTTTATATATTCATACATAAGAGATGCGCTTCTGTGTACAGTGGCAAGGCGCTTTGCTGAATCTTCCCGCAAAAAAACATTTTGACGTTCTCCGATTATGTAGTGGAAGCGCCATCACCGATTAATGTTTATTATCCGTCTTTTTTGTTTTTTTACGTGAAAATTGTCACAACAAAGCGGGACCGAGTTAACACATTTGACTTGCCATTGACATGTCGGCATGTGTAAAGAAACTTGCGGCGCTATTGCCTGATATCTATTTCTATCATTTTGTCCAATCATAATCAAGTGGTATTAATCACCAAGCTCCAATACAATGGATAACAGTTTCTATATCGATGTACTCATTCTTGTTTCGTTTGATGGCCCACCGTTACAGCGTTCAAGGACCATCATACGATCTATGTTGGATAGTTCACACATATTCAACATCAACAATCCTAGAATTGCAGTTCTTTCTCCATATACGGGGTCCTAGTTTCTACGAAGATGTGAAAAGTTTACACGTTCGTCGTGCCATTAAAACGTCGGCATTGGAAGTGAATAGACGGTACTGCTCTTAGGAAGCGCGAATAATTACTACATCATGCAGTATCCTCCAAATGAATATCTTACAACCATTACTATCATGACTTCATATAAATAAGAGATGGGCTTCCGTGTACAGTGACAATGCGCTTTGCTGAATCTTGCCGCATAACATATTTTGACGTTCTCCAATTATGTAGTGGAAGCGCCATCACGGGTGGATGTACAACGATTACTATGACTTCATATATTCATACATATAAGAGATGCGCTTCTGTGTACAGTGACAAGGCGCTTTGCTGAATCTTGAATTGCCGCATAACATATTTTGACGTTCTCCAATTATGTAGTGGAATCGCCATCACCGATTAATGTTTATTATCCGTCTTTTGTTTTTGTTTGTTTGTTACGTGACAATTGTCACAACAAAGCTTGACCGAGTTAACACATTTGTCGTGCCGTTAACATGTCGGCATGTGTAAAGAAACTTGTGGCGCTATTGCCTAATATCTATTTCTATCATTTTGTCCAATCATAATCAAGTGGTATTAATCACCAAGCTCCAATACAATGGATAACAGTTTCTATATCGATGTACTCATTCTTGTTTCGTTTGATGGCCCACCGTTACAGCGTTCAAGGGCCATCATACGATCTATGTTGGATAGTTCACACATATTCAACATCAACAATCCTAGAATTGCAGTTCTTTCTCCATATACGGGGTCCTAGTTTCTACGAAGATGTGAAAAGTTTACACGTTCGTCGTGCCATTAAAACGTCGGCATTGGAAGTGAATAGACGGTACTGCTCTTAGGAAGCGCGAATAATTACTACATCATGCAGTATCCTCCAAATGAATATCTTACAACGATTACTATCATGACTTCATATAAATAAGAGATGGGCTTCCGTGTACAGTGACAATGCGCTTTGCTGAATCTTGCCGCATAACATATTTTGACGTTCTCCAATTATGTAGTCGAAGCGCCATCACGGGTGGATGTACAACGATTACTATGACTTCATATATTCATACATATAAGAGATGCGCTTCTGTGTACAGTGACAAGGCGCTTTGCTGAATCTTGAATTGCCGCATAAAACATTTTGACGTTCTCCGATTATGTAGTGGAAGCGCCATCACCGATTAATGTTTATTATCCGTCTTTTTTGTTTGTTTTTGTTTGTTTGTTACGTGACAATTGTCACAACAAAGCTTGACCGAGTTAACACATTTGTCGTGCCGTTAACATGTGTAAAGCAACTTGTGGCGCTATTGCCTAATATCTATTTCTATCATTTTGTCCAACCATAATGATCAACTGGTATTAAACATCATCGAGCGCCGATACAATGAATAATAGTTTCTAATCTATAGTTTTCTTTAATGACTAACTTTTAAGTGCATAGCAATATGCCAATTTTGTTCATTTTTCATGCAATTAAACACAGACTATAAAATGGCAAAATATGCTAAATTTAAACTCTGTCTCAATTTACCGACACTGACAGAGTGATGGCGCTTGAACTCCTTGTCATGCTTATCCAACAATGTCGGAACAAGTTCTCACCTGCGAGAAAATAAAACACGTGTTAGTTCGAATCGCTATCCGTTGCACATGTGAGACATATATCTTTCTGGTGTTTAGCTCTCGTTATACCGCTTATATTTGAAGATGCAATGCAACGTAATTGCTTCATTGTATATTTTACATCATAATATGTGATTGAAATGTCAGTGCGAGTATGTTGTATGAGGACAAATACAAAGCTATTATTAATATATATTTATTATTATTATTAACTGTTCACAATAATATATAAATTTGTTTTATACATACGTAGGTTATTAATAGTACAAAGCAAAGAATGTGTAGAATAATGCTATCTGCAACCACACTCCTGGACAATCATGTCTTCGTGTTCTTTAACAACGATATTGCCACGTTCATAGTATATCATACTTAAGGGCGATAATTTTACAGGAACACAGCTCGGAGTTGGAACGTGGTTTGAACTCACTTTGCGGACCATGCCCTGTATAATAGCATGGTTAGTGGGATTACCATCCGCTCGACTGGAACACGATCCAACACATTGAAAAGCATTAAAGGTTTTTGGAAAAATAACCCAAGCGCTCCATCCAATTTTCTCAAAGTCTACCATTAGATCAGATTTTTCACATGGATATGGAGGTCTGTCAACTAGCTTATTATTTTTCTTGCCATTTCCTCTCTTTTTCTGTCGTTTTCCACTGGATTCGTCGGGAGCTCGTATGACACGATTAAGAGGAAATATATTATTTTCCTGGCGATATAGTCTCTTGTCAGATTTCTTGTACTTCTTCTGTGTCTGTGTGAATGTAACCAGTATGGCTTCATTGTTGATAACCCACATTTTTGCCTTTGAAGTATCATCGTTGTCATATGCAATACCGAGTTCTAAGTGAAATTTACACTCTTCGACTTCACCAATCGTCTGACAGTTTGGTGACTTTCACAAAACCATGGCGTTGTTATTTTTTTAAACATACATTTTT